CATCACAGCTCACAGCAACTTAAAACTCCTGGGCTCAAGCGATTCTCCTGCCTCAGCCTCCTGAGTAGCTGGGACTACAGGCACCCGCCACAATGTCCAGCTATTTTTTGTTGCAGTTGTCATTGTTATTAGCTGGCCTGGGCCGGGTTCAAATCCACCACCTTTGGTGTATGTGGCTGGCGCTATACCCACTGTGCTATGGGCGCTGAGACATTTTGATGTTATTTTATTAAGTCTTTATATTTTGCCCTCTAGAATTCCTTTTTTAGAAAACCCAACTGAGAGGCTCAGCACAAGTAGCTCAGCAGCTAGGGCGCCAGCCACATGCACTGGGGCTGGCAGGTTCAAACCTGGCTTGGTCCTGCCAACTATAACAATAACAAAACAATTGTTATCCTAAGTATTTCATAATAGCTACAGACTATTCCACCAAGTGAATGTACGTTAAGTCACTGGATTTCCTGCCAACAAGTATTTAGAGTGGCTCCCGAGTATCCCTACTCCTAATAACACTAAGGATAAAGCCCTGGGAAGAAATCTTGATTCTCTTCTTAGGATACATTCTCTGAAGTGAAAATATCCAGGTTATGGGACGCCAACAGTCTGTTGCTCCTCACGCCCTGCCCAGCGGCCCTGTTGACTAGAATGGACCCACACAGCACAGGTCCAGCACTGACCCCAGAAAGGCTGGGAGCACGGCTCGGCTCTGGTTCACTTGCCTTCAAACTCTGTCAGGGGACCCCCTTCCTTTAAAGCTCTAAGCACAGAAGACTCTGATTTTGGCAAAGAACACCAAGTTATATGCTGATTAAGGTAACAACGTGGTTTCACATCCTTACTTCATTTCAATGTTCAACCTTCTTGAGAGGCAGATATTGTTAATCCTCATTTTGCAGGTGAGGGAATAGAGGCTTAGATTTTATTTTATTTATTTTTGAGACAGAGCCTCATGCTGTCGCCTTGGGTAGAGTGCTGTGGCATCACAGCTCACAGCAACCTCCAACCCCTGGGCTTAAGTGATTCTCTTGCCTCAGC